AGTCAACCCTCAACCCAGCTGTGTTCAACCCTCACCACAATTGTGTCGCCAGTTCAACCCTCACCCCAATTGTGTCACCAGTTCAATCCTCACCCCAATTGTGTTACCGCCTGTCCAGGTTCTCCCTCCTGGTATCCTTCTTGTCCAGCCTTCCCATAACCAAAGATTGTGCTGCTCTTGTCCCCTGGAGATTTCACATTCTCCTCCTCGTTTCGAGCAATTCATTGAATCCTCCCCTGTTTAAATCGTCAAGAGTTGACGGCTGCAGCTTTTCTTGACAGGTGTTGATTCTCGACCTGAGCAAGATGCTGCAACCATCTCAGCTCTTTGTGTACAACGAGGAGATCAGAAAATCAGTGACACTAAGCCACATCGGTTCCCTGGAAGAGGTACCTTCAGAGATTTGGCTTCCTTTTTTCTTTTTCTGCTTGCTGCCCTCTAGTCCTCGCTTAATGACTCCCCTGTTTAGCGACCATTCCAAGTTTTTAAAACGGCATTGGGAAAGTCGCTATAAAGCAAGCCTTTGCACTTAAACAAGCGTTGCAGCGTCCCTAGTGGTCACATGATCAAGATTCAGGCGTTTTGCAACCGGTGGGTGTTTATGACTGTTGCAAGCGTCCCGTGATCACCGTTTGTGCATTTCACAGCTGGCAAGCAGAGTTGATGGAGAAGCCAGGCTGTAAAATCTCAAGTCATGGTCACATGATGTCTCAATGACTCTGGATGACTTGCTTAATGACCACAGTGGAAGTGAAGTCTTAAGTCCACGAGGTCATGGGATATTTCATTTAGCAATGGATGAAATTGCCAGTTCCAGTTGTGGTCATTAAGCGAGGATTATCCCTTCTTACAATTTTCCAGTGATTAGGAATTTCGCTTCTAAGGTTATTTGCTTATTGGGTGTTTCTCTTGGCTTCTATAGGAAGGAATTTCCACCTGGACCTTTCCCGCATCCTCCATCCGTGGAATCAGGTAATGATCGTCTTTAAAAATGCCATTTTTGAAGAGGGCATTTAAGTGCTGGCCTTCTGCTTAGCTCCAACTTCCAGCAGATTTCTGAGTTGTGCTCACTGTGCACACGTCACACTTAAAGCCACACATTTTGCCAACTTGCTAAGTTTGGTTAGGGTTAACCTGGATCAGTTTTTGGTGACTTTTCATATTGTGGAAACTCAGCCAATTTGGTTAACTTATAGTTCAACTATATTGCATAAATCCAGAAATGTGTTAAATTCAGGAACCAGGTTTAGTCATTGTTTGAATGGAATTAATGTCTGTCTCAGTGGTGGAATTCAAATTCGTTTACTACCAGTACTATGGGCAGGGCTTGCTGGGCGGGGCTTGGTGGGTGTGGCAGGGGAAGGCTACTGCAAAATCCCCATTCCCTCCCCATCCCACTAACCTGCTTTCCAGCTCCGTTCTCCTGTGCAGGACAACCAAAGAAGACCTAGCCAATCAGCTGGGACTCAAAGGGAGGCAGAGAATAGATGGGGGCGGAGCCAGTCAGAGGTGGTATTTGCTGGTTCTCTAAACTACTCAAAATGTCCACTATTGGTTCTCTAGAACTGGTCAGAACCTGCTGAATACCACCTCTGGTCTGCCTGTCTAACACAGTATCATCTGTGCTTTTGGCACTCGTGGACATATTTGGATGTTTGAGAATATATCAAGAGCAGTTGAAGAAAATAGCAACCACAGACAATATGGTCAGTTGCAAAACCTTAATGTAAGATTATTTCCTTGGCTTCCTTCTGGAAGTCAGGGGCGTTGGTTTATCTTTCTTGCAAAGAAAAGTGATCTCCTCTTTTTTAAACCTTCCCGTGAATCTCCTAAGCTTAATTCTAACAGGTTGTCCAAATGGCATTCAGACTTTAAGGGGCGCTCACGTCTCAAAGCTTTTTAAACCAGCATCCTCAAACAACAGGAAAACACTTTCATGCAAAGTAAATCAACAGCTCATACAACATTCCCTGCATGTAGAAAGATAGTATTTAATCAGGAAGTTTTTGAGGCTAGCATAGGCAATGTGGGATGAAGGATCTTGAAAGGATAAGTCACGTTTCGGGGGTGGTGGTGGCAGAGGTGGTATTCAGCAGGTTCTGACCAGTTCTAGAGAACCGATAGCGGACATTCTGAATAGTTCGGGGAACTGGAAAATACCCCCTCTGACTGGCTCTGCCCCCATCTATTCTCTGCTTCCCTTTGACTCCCATCTGATTGGCTGGCTCTTTGGTTGCCCTGCACAGGAGAACAGAGCTGGAAAGCAGGTTAGCGGTGTTATATTCCCGATCGGAAAGGAAGATGCTAGATTCAGTGACTTCAGCTCTTTATTTTATTTAAGATCGGCTTGGCTTGGCTTGGGCGCGCGGCGGCTTATATGGATCTAGCCGGCCGAGCCGCGGCCAATGACACCGCTTTAAATCTCCCGCGATCGGTTTCCTCCAATCGCGGGAGATTCTCAGCGGGCCAATCGGCGAGGCTCCCCCGGCCAATCGGGTCGCCGCGCGCCTTGGCCAATCAGGAACGGGTATTTACAAGAATGCAAATGTACAGTACAGAACAAGCGGGGTGGGGAGGAAATGGAGATTTTGCAGTATCCTTCCCCTGCCATGCCCATCAGGCCATGCCCACCAAGCCACGCCCACAGAACCAGTAGTAAAAAAAAATTGAATCCCACCACTGCGGGAGGGGGGTTTACTAGTGAGAAGAAGGGATGGATATTCCTGCCAGACTGAAGTTCTCCTTCTGTGGACCAAGCCTTCTTCTTCCTAAAGGCCTGTTTTCTACATGCCAGCCTGAATTCTTTTCTTCTCTCTCTCTCTCTCTCTCTTTTTGCACCAGTATTTCCAAGTGCGATGAAAGATGCTGTTTCCTTTATGTGCGGCATACAGTTGAAGATTTCCAGTTATACTTCTCTACCCAAAATCACTGCCGCTGGTGAGTTGGGGAGGAGGGGAGGGTGCCAAGACCCAAAGAAAGAGAAAGGAAGCCAGGGCAGTCCTGGGCTGTTATCAACAGAGGGAGAACATCAAGGTCACGAGAAGTGATAATACCACTGTATGCTGCACTAGTGAGACCACATTTGGAACACTGAGTGGAATTCTGGTCATCATGATACAAAAAAAGTTGCCGAAAGCCTAGAAAGTGTGCAGAGAAGAGCCACCAAGATGATAAAGGGTCTGAAGGCTAAACTGGATGATGAACAGTTGAGTCTATCCAACTGAAGAGAAGATTTGGGAGGGGAATACATGATAACTGTCTTCCAGTTCTTGAGGGGCTGTCACAGAGAAGAGGGGATTGACTTAACCTCAAAAGAACTAGAGGGCAGGACAAGAAGTAATGGGAGGAAGCTTATTAAAGAGAGATCCAATCTAGATGTAAGGAAAAATATTCTGAAAGAACAATTAATCAGGGAAATAGCTTGTGTCCTGGAATCGTGGGTGCTCCATAACTGGATGTTTTCTAAAAAATAGATTGACCAACTGTTTGACTGAGATGGTATAAAGCAGTGGTGGCTAACCTTTTTGACGTCCTGTGTCAAAAATTGTGCGCACGCTTGTGTGTGAGCACTCACGTGCCAGCGCCCAGTAGGCAATGTGTGCGCCCCCCCACGCCCCCTGCACATGCACGCGCAATCCCCCACGCCCCCTTACCTGCACTGAACCTCCCAGCTGATTTTCGGCCCATTTGAGGCCTTTTTCAGCCTCCCAGAGGCTTGAGGAAAGCTTCTGCAGCCTTTGCAGGCCGAAAAATGGGCCTGTTTCATCACTTCTGGTATTTCCGGAAATACAGGAAGTGATGAAACGGGCCTATTTTTTGGCCTGCAAAGGCTTTCCTCAAGCCTCCGGGAGGCCAAAAAAGGCCTCAAACAGGCCGAAAATCAGCTGGGAGGTGCATGCATGCGCAGTGAGGTAAATTTGCCTGAGGCTCTCGTGTCGGCACAAACCACTCTGTGTTGCCCCTGTGGCATGTGTGCCATAGGTTCGCCATCATGGGTATAAGGCCTCCTGCCTTGAGCAGGGGGCTGGATTAGAAGACCTCTGAAGTCCCTTCCCTATGATTCATCCCAGGGTCTGCATTTGAAAGAGTCTCCTTTTTTCATTGCCTTATTTAACAGCAGACCCAGCACCCATTGGGTGAGTTGCTTTAGAAATAACAATTTCAAGAAATGGGCATCGTAGTAAAATCATAAAGACAGTCTCTTTATATAGAATTCTTTATTGGCGAAGTGGGATTGGACACACAAGGAATTTGTCTTTAGTGCATATGCTCTTAGTTGTACATAAAGGAAAAAATAAAATACATTCATCAAGAATCATAAGATAGTGATAGTCATAGTGATAGTCATAGGTTACTAATAAGCGATCAAATCATACTAGGAAACAAAACAATATAAATCGTAAAAATACAAGCAACATGGTTATAGTCATAAGTGGGAAGAGTGGTACTAGGAAGTGTTAGAAAGACGGTCTCAGTAGACATATACATTTCATTTGTCATCTGCTCCTTCCCTGATGCATGTTTTGTAAAGGAAAGGCAGAGCCACGGCATGTTGGGAGGAAGAAGTATGCTTGCATTATAGAGGTTACAGTTTGGCTAGCTATATGTCAGGAGTCAATCAAAGCCTAATGGGAGGGCAGCAGTGAAATGCTACCGGTTCGGCTCGGTTCAACAGAACCGATAGCAAAAATTGCTACCAGTTTGGCTGAACCAGTAGTTAAAAAAAGCTCCGACGATCAAGCTGAGAGGAGAAAGAAGGGAAAAGTGCAGGATTGCAGCACCCCTGCGCTTTTCTGTTCTTTATCTCAGCTGATGGGTGCAGCAGAACCTCAGCTGGTGTTTGGAAAGCTGTGCGCATGTGTTAGGTGCACGTGCGCACACGGGCGCAGAGTGCGCTATCACCAAACCGGTAGGGAAACTGATAGAATCCCACCACTGGAGGAGAGTCTGTGAATTGCAAAGATCCAAAACTTAATTAAGGAAGGGAGATAGTATAATAGCCCAGATGTAAATAATGTACCACCCAAATGGTACTTGGCAACCAGTTACCCACCACTGTTTTGACTATTTCAGGGTGAGCATTGAAAATATGACAGCTAGCTTCAGCGTTGCTGTGAAGCTTGAAAATGTGTGGGTGAAGACATTTTTAAAAAGTCAAGGGCAATAAACGGAAAAGAAATTGCATTCTCAAATAGTTCCCCATTGATTTCCAGTGGGATGGTAGGTCATTTTAAAACTGTATTTTTTTTCAAACTTGGCAACTTGAAGATGTCTGGGCTTTAACTCCCAGAATTCCCCAGCCAGCTATGCTGGCTGGGGAATTCTGGGAGTTGAAACCCACACATCTTCAAATTGCCAAGTTTGAAAAGCAGTTTTGAAGGGAGAATTGCACTTTGGCATTATTTTTACTAAAAAAAAAATTGACCCAAAACAAATTACCGGAATAAATGACCATCAATTATAGCATCCCTGGTCTAAGGTACCTGGAGGACTACAGTTTCCCCCTTCTCTAATGCAGTCTTCCCCAACTCCTGTCCCTCTACAACAAGAGTCTTCAAACTTGGCAAGTTTAAGACTTGTGGACTTCAACTCCCAGAATTCCTGAGCTAACATGACTGGAGGAAGAAATATGGGAGTTGAAGTCCACAAGCCTTTAAAGCTGTCAAGTTTGAAGACCCCTGCTCTACAGCTTCGATCGCTTTTAACTACCAAAAACTGATGGGGGACAATGACAGCTGTTGGCTCGCACCTCTGGAGATGGACTTCTCTAAGCTTCTCAGGCACTTTGATTGCTTTAAAGCAGCATCAGTCTTTATATAAAGATGTTTCGTGAGCTTATATTATTCCCTGAGTTTTTTTCTTCCTCTTCCTCTTTTATTTCAGGTTTTTCGAACTGGTCCATTCTTTCATGGCAGAGATGGGTGAAGAAGGGAATTGGTGCAGCTCCCCAGTGGAACTGGAGGTAAATTGGGGGGAAGACACTGTGAATCAGGCTTTCTTGGTTTTCTTAGGAAGGATTTCACAATGAGTGAAGAAGGAAACAACAAACCTAGCCAGCTCCAGAGATGACTCAGTATAAAAATAGCTACCATGCAGAGGTCTCGTTTAGTGCTGTGCTGAAATTTTCTTCTGAATCTTTTCCATAACCTGAGGACTCAAACATATAAAGAACAGTTGCTGCAACTGGGTATGTCTAGTCTGATGAAAAGCAGAAGTAGAGGAGGCATGATAGCAGTGTTCCAATATCTCAGGGACTGCCACAAACAAGAGGGAGTCAAGCTAAAGCACCCGAGGGCAGGACAAGAAGCAACGGGTGGAAACTAATCAAGGGGAGAAGCAACTTAGAACTAAGGAGAAATTTCCTGATAGTTACAACAATTAATCAGTGGAACATCTTGCCTCCAGAAGTTGTGAATGCTCCAACACTGGAAGTTTTAAAGAAGAGATTGGATAACGCTTTGTCTGAAGTGGTGTAGGGTTTCCTGCCTAAGCAGGGGGTTGGACTAGAAGACCTCCAAGGTGCCTTCCAATTCTGTTATTCTATTCTACCATTCACATTATGATAAGAAAGACATTGCTTTCCGTGTGTTTTTCAACTTGGGAACACTAGTGAAATTCTCTTGGATGGCATACAAGTTTCTTACACTTTATCTTTCTAATAGATTTGCTAAGGCAAATGAGTGGGTCTGTTTGTTGTATACATTTCCTATACTGGGCGGCAATTGGCTTGGCTTTTTATGTGTCCATTCAAGTGAGAAATATGAGGAAACCTCACTTGGCCACAGTTTTCCAAAGAAGAAAAGGCATAAAGAGAGGGAGTGTAGAAAAACACAACCATGCCACATTGCTTTGTCACCTTGCAACAATCTCAAACAGTGCAGTTTTTTCAGAGTATGGAAGAACATTTCATTTTTAAATAAAAAGGGAAAGATAATGAATATTGAAATGAAAACCTGTTCCGATCATACCTAGTTTCTCTTAAGTGTAATATTTCAGTTGTAAATTTAATGAGGTATATGAGCTTGCATATTTAATAAGCATCTAGAGAAGTAATTGTGAAAGTCTTTAGCTGCACTCATTTCAATGTTTAGTCTTGGTTGTAGAGAGTGCAGAAACTCCACTTTTCTCAAAGCTATTTTGAAGGAAAAACAAGGTGGAACTTTTGTACCTTTAAAAGTGTTTGTGTAGTAACTTCAAATTGTTTGCAAACACCATATTTTCCAAAAAAAATGGTAAAACAGATAACAGGTGATCAGAGTTGGAAGGGACCTTGTAGGTCATCTAGTCCAACCCCTCGCCCAAGCGGGAGACCGTACACCATTTCTGACAGATGGGAGTCCAATCTCTTCTTGAAAGTCTCAAGTGATGGCACTCCTACAACTTGTTCCATGGGTTGTTTGTTCTCCCTGTCAGAAAGTTTCTCCTTATTTCCAGGTTAAATCTCTCCTTGTTCAGTTTCCATCCATTATTCCTTGTCTGGCCTACAGGTGCTTTAGAAAATAGCTTGACCCCTTCCTCCTCTCTGTGGCAGCCCCTCAAATATTGGAAGACTGCTATCCTGTCTCCCCTGGTCCTTCTCTTCACTAGACTAGATGGTCCTAAACCATCTGAGAATATTTTATAACATCAAAAAAATCTGATGTTAAAAATACATATTTGGATAGAAAAAATAATAAAGGGACATATAGATCTAAAACCGGAAATATTTCTGTTGAGTATCGTACCGGAAAAATATAATAAATGGACTATGTATCTACTACTGCATGTGTTAACAGCGGCTAGAATTATATTTGCACAACATTGGAAAAGTGTGGAGATCCCTACAGAAGAGAAGATAATAAAAAAAAAAAATACTAGAATGTGAAGAAATGGATGGATTAACACATGAAATTAAAGAGAAGGAGGACCCGGTTAACTAATAGAATCAGAAGTTAGAAAGTTTTAAATTATAAGAGAAGAATTAACTTTATTATAAGGGCTCATTATGATATGTTTATTACTAATATTAATTAGTATCAATAATAAACAAGAATTGATATGAGAAAACACTGTTATATGACTGTTAATAAATTTTATGATAATGATGTTTGCTCAAACTAACTGTAATCAGACAACACACTGTTTATAAAGACATTGAAACTGTTGCTCTTTCTATATATATAGCAAAAATAAAAATAAAATCTGATGTTAGAGACAAACTTCAACATGGTACAAACTTGTTTGCATAAAAAAAATATAAGTGTAATTATCCCTATTCCAATTATGGAAGCTGACAAGGATTGGCAGCTGAAGGTTGAGCAGTGACTTCTTCTACCATGTTTGAGGTCAAGGAGCTAATTTAAGGAACTTCAGGATTCATTATCTATCACATTTTCCTGGAATGTCTGCTCCAGGCCTCAAAATTCACACTAATTAAAGGGTTGTTTGTGTATCAAAGGTTTTCTGACCAGGCTTTATACTTCCTTATATTCTCTCCATGCTTCCACCTTCACAGTATGACTATGAATACACTGAGGCAGGCGACAGAGTGATTTTGGGAAAAGGGACTTATGGCGTGGTGTATGCAGGACGAGACCGCAGCAACCAAGTGCGCATTGCCATTAAAGAGATTCCGGAGCGGGATAGCAGGTAGGATCCGGAATGGGAAAACTCGCCATGGCCAACGTGCCCTGGCCGATTCACCCAAGCTATCTTGCCACATCTAATTCGCCATGGGACGACCCATAAGACAGCCCGCCACAGATCAATTTAACTTAGGCTAACTCAAGAGAGGGACGCGGTGGCTCAATAGCTAAGACACTGAGCTAGCTTGTCGATCAGAAAGGTTCGAATCCCTAGCGCCGTGTGACGGAGTGAGGTCCCATTACTTGTCCCAGCTTCTGCCAACCTAGCAGTTCGAAAGCATGTAAAAAAAATGCAAGTAGAAAAATAGGGATCACTTTGGTGGGAAGGTAGCAGCGTTCCGTGCGCCTTTGGCATTTAGTCACGCCAGCCACATGACCACGGAGACGTCTTCGGACAGCGCTGGCTCTTCGGCTTTGAAACGGAGATGAGTACTGCCCCCTAGAGCCAGAAATGACTAGCATGTACGTGCAAGGGGAACCTTTACCTTTACCTTTAACTCAAGAGAAGGACAAGTGAATTTCAGTGGGCCTTGTCTTGCTTTAGGTTCAAGTTTCAAACTAAAGCCAAAACAAGGCCCATTGCAATTCACTTGTCCCCCTAGTGCAGGGGTGTCAAACTCAATTTCATTGAGGGCTGTTTGACCTCGGGGTGCCAAGGTGGGTGTGGCCAGCTTGACATCAGTTGTATCAGGGGTGCTTGTGTGGGCCTGACCGCTCTACCAGCAAAAACGGGCTTCTGAATTCTGTTTTTGGCTGTGACGGCTTCCTGCAACCCTCTGCCAGTGTAAAAGGAGCTTGGGAGCCCATTTTCGCTGGCAGAGCACTTGGGCACACACAGGTGCCCCCGACACGAGTGACTTTGAGCTGGCCACGCCCACCACGGCCACATCTGTGGCCCTCCCAAGCTCTGTTTTGCTGGGAGAGACACCATGGACTGGTCCTTTGCTGTTTCCAGGTCGGCTCTGTGGGCCAGATCTAAGTACCTCATGAGCCAGATCCTGCCCATGGGCCTCGAGTTTGACACCCCTGCCCTAGTGAGTTATCCCATGTTGAATTGTCCCATGCTAGACGGCTGAGGTGAGTTGTCTTAGACCCAGTGGGCAGAGAAGACATTTCCAGGTCATTCAGTGGGAGGTGGTGGTTTTGTCCTCCCCTCCCTTGGCAGGAATATTTTGTTCTTGGAAGAGTCTGCCTGGGTCTTTCATTGTTGGTCTTACTTCTCAGATACTCACAGCCTCTGCATGAGGAGATTGCCCTGCACAAGCGCCTGAAACACAGGAACATTGTCCGTTATCTGGGTTCTGTGAGTCAAAATGGCTTCCTCAAAATCTTCATGGAGGAAGTGCCTGGAGGTAAGTAAGCAGAAGATGTGATTCTGAAACAGAGGGGAATGGATTCCTTTCAGCAAAATCAGATTTTGAGGATATGAATGAGGGTATCAAGCTCAAGTCCAAAAAGGTCACAGTGAAATCCAGTTGAGTCCAATTCTTTTATTCGCTTGCACAGAATGGACAGAATCTTGCCAGACTAAAATTATAACAGAGAGTCCTCCGTGTACAAGCACAATTGAGCCCAAAATTTCCATTACTAAGCAAGACAGTTGTTAAGTGAGTTTTACCCCATTTTACGACCTTCCTTGCCACAATTGTTAAGTGAATCACTGCAGTTGCTCAATCAGTAAACACGCTTGTTATGGGAATCTGCCTTCCCCATTGACTTTGCTTGTCAGACGGTCACATAAGGTGATCACTTGACTCTGGGGCATGGCAGCTGTCATAAATACGTGTCAGTTGCCAAATGTCCAGACTCTGATTATGTGACCATGCAAATGCTGCAATGGTCGTAAGTATGAGAAAACAGCCATAAGTCACTTCTTTTCAGGGCCATTGTAACTTCAAACAGTCATTAAATGAATTGTTGTAAATCGAGGACTATTGCAACCCGCTACTTGGATAGATATAACCAGAGAGGGTTTAGGGCAGGGGTCTCCAACCTTGGCCACTTTAAGACTTGTGG